CGCGTTGGAGACCGAGGCTGCGGAGTAAGTGGTGCGTGTGTGATGGAAGCGCTAGCGGTGGAGTGCCGATGTTTAGATTGGATGAGATTGGATTGGAGATGGAGACTGTAGAGTACTGCGCCTGGTGTTGGAGCGGCGGGTGGGGCGGGGCGGGCGGCGGGCGGCGGCTGTGGGCAGCGCGGGCTCGGGATTAAGATGCAACTCCCAAGGAAGCTGCCTTGGAGATGGAGGCCGTGGAGTACTGGGGCGTGTTGGGGACGGAGGCTGTGGAGTTCTGGGTGCCCTGTTGGGGGCGGAGGCTGCGGAGTACTGCGGTGTGTGTGTGTGTGTGTGTTTGTGTGTGTGTGTGTGTTTGAGCGTATGTGTGTATGTGCGATATATATATATATACATATGTATATATAAATACATGTGCATGTATCTATGTGTAGGGGACGGAGGCCTGGGGCGGCGGCGGGCGGCGGGCAGGCTCGGGTGCTTCATCGAACTCTGGAAGGAACTGTCTTGGAGACGGGAACTGTGGAGTGCTGGTGTGTGCGTTGGAGACGGAGGCTAGGTGTGTGTGTGTGTTGAAGACGGGGGCTGCGAGGTATGCGGTGTTGCGTCGTTGGAGACGGAGGCTGTGGACTAGTGGGTGTTGTGTTGGAGACGGAGGCTGTGAAGCACTGTGTTGTGTTAGAGAAGCGGGCGTGGGGGGCGAAAAGGATGGGGGACGGCGGGCGAGAGGGGATTCCGAATACACAACTTCCAAGGAAGCCGTCTTGGTGACGGAGGCTATTAGAGTACTGGGGTGTGTCGGAGACAGAAGCTGTGGGGTACTGGGTGTGGTGTTGGAGAAGGGGGCGGGGCGGGCGGGGCGGGCGGGGCGGGCGGCGGCGGCGGGCGGCGGACGGGCTTGGGCGTTCAGTTATCTCACTCCTGGAGAAGCCCTCTTGGCGACGGAGGTGGTGGACAACTGGGGTGCGTGTTGGACCCGGCGGCGGGCGGGCTCGGGCGTTTGATCCACCTCCGAAGGAGGTCGTCTTGGCTACGGAAGCTGTGGAGCACTGGGGTGCTGGTTGGAGACGGAGGCTGTGGAATACTGCTTGCTGTGTTGTTGGAGACGGAGGCTGTGTAGCCGGGTGTGTTGGATGCGGAGGCGATGAACTACTGGGTGTTTGTGTTGGAGACGGAGGCTGTGGAACGCTGGGTGTTGTCTTGGCAGCGCGGTCGGCGGTCTTTGCATCTTAATGCAACTCCTGAAGAAGCCGTCTTGCAGACGGAGGCTGTGGAGCACTGGGTGTGGCGTTCGAGACAGAGGCTGTGGAGCAGTCGGGTGCGTGTTCGAGACGGAGAAATAACTTCTTGTAGGCGGCGGCTGTGGAAAACTGGGCGTGGTGTTGGGACAGCGGGCGGGGTGGAGGGCGGGCAGCGCCAGCGGGCGGGCTCTGGTGCGTAGTGCAAGTCCTAGAAGAAGCGCCTTGGACTTTTGGCTCTGAGACACCGGAGTGTGTGCCTGAAGCGGAGGCTGTGGAGCACTGGGTGCGCGCTTGGAAGCTGATAACTGTCAAGTGCCAGGTGTTATGTTGGAGGTGGAAGTTATGGAGTAGTGGGTGTTGTGCTGGAGACGGGAGCCGTGGAGCACTGGGTGTTGTGCTGGAGAGGCGGAGCGGGCGGGACGGGCGGCGGGCGGCGGCGGCGGGCTGTGGGCGGGTTCTGGTTTTTTTGCAGCTCCCGAAGACACCGTCTTGGAGACGGAGGCTGTGGTGTACTGGGGCGCGGTGGAGTCGGAGTTCGTGGAGTACTTGATGTTGTGGAGGCGGAAGCTGTGGAGTACCAGGCGTGTTGAAGACGGAGGCTGTGGAGTAATAGATGTCCCCAGTGCGTTTTTTCCCACAAGGCTTTCTGGGGAGGGAAGAGACCTACACACACGACAAAAACACCAAATCCGAGTATGATTGTTTTGATGGGTTCTTGCTGGGACCCCAGGAGAACCTCCCCCAAATAATATAAAACGCCATATCAGGTTTCATTATGGGGTTCCATCGAAGGGCTGGGACAACGTCCCAACAACCCCCGAAATGCCCCACATGAAAAAGTTGTTGGTGGTATCCTGGAATGCTCGGGGACCTCCCAAAAATCCCACGAACAACTCGCCACGTTTTTTCTTTTTGTAGATTAGAAGATGAAGTTTCCTGGAGGGCCGAGGGATCCAACCGAACAACAACAACAACAACAACAACACACTAATATCCAATGGGTTTTTCGGGGGGGATGCTTCATGGGGGGGCCGGGGAAACCAACCGATCACCATATAACAAAATACCCCATGTGGGAGTTTGGGGGGGGCTTCCAGGGGAACCTGGGGAAACCCACCAAAAACTCAATGAGGAAAACAAATCCTGGTTTTTCAAAAGAACTCCTGGGAGAGGGGCGGGAGAACCATCCAATAAAAATCGACATGGGGGGGGCCCGAGGTTCTGAGAACTGCCACGCCCTACTGCCCCTTCAACCCGCTCAAACCCCCCAATCCCGCTGAACCCAAGCTAAACCACCCAGAACCCTTAACCCCTCAAATCCTCCAGAAAATCGCCGAAATCCTGCTAACGTCCCGAAGCCCTCCCTGAACCCCGGGAGACCCCGCTGAGTCCCTAAACCCTCCCATGAGACCCCTAACACACATACAAACCAACAGAAAAGCCCCAAAGCGCCCTAAGAACCCCTAGCGCCCCCTAGCGCCCTAAACTCCCTCTAAACACTCCTCACCCCCGTGGGCCCGTTTAAACCCTGCCCCCCCTGAACCCCAGAGCGCCACTAGCATCGGGGCCGTCATTGGCCTTACCGTCGTCATCGTCATCATCGCAACCGCCATCGCTACTACCATCATGGTTGCCGCCGATGTCGACGGCATCGTGATACGGCGCTTGCCCGGGTCACCGACCCGCACTGAGCGCCCGCACGCCAGCGCGGACTTTGAGACGCGCTGAAGTTTCCACCGGCAAGCGCCATCGCGGCCGCACCAGTTGTGCCAAACCAGCTGGCCGACCTGCGCTTGAACGTGCGCTCGCCAGTGCGGCCGTAGAAACGCGCTAGCAAATTCGAATCGGCAGCCGCAGTCGTGGCCACATGCGTTTTGCCAATCAGGTTGCGGGTGGGAGGGCGTGGTGTTGCGCGAGCAGTGGAGTTGACATCTCTTGAGGGACACACATTACTGCAAGCTGTAGACAGGTGCACATGGGCTGCACTACCTCTATTGCTCCCAATAGGTCGCGCCGCGTAAACTGCTAACTGTGCGCCACCGTGCCTCGAGGCACGAAGGGGAGTGTTCACCAGGTCCTTGAGAGTTCTCTGTGCCCTGTACTCAGTAGTGTAGTTGTTCTATTTGGGGCAGGGAGCCCACAGTCCCAAACCTTCGTGGCGCTCCCGCGCGCTCCTGGGTTTCCTCGCGTGACTTTTCCAAAAAGCTGAGGGCCGCTATGACGGGCCAAGAGGGCCCCGAGAAGTGCCTAAGGGGCAATCAAGACAGCCCGACAGCTTCTCGCTGAACCTCCCAAAATCTCCAGAGCCTCCTCTTCTAACCTCCTTCGTCCCCTTCGGGGAACGGTTTACCCCTCCCCGTCTCCCCTCCCTTGGACCCGGAGGCGTTTCGCCAGCAGTTAGGGCGTTCAAAATGGCCTCGGCGAGGAAGCCAACATCAGTGATTGTATGAAAAGGTTTTGGCCACATCTTGGCCTCCTGGGAGGGGAGGGGGGCTAATTTACTACGGCCCCTCTTTTTATCGATCTCCTCCAAGATGGTCTCAAGATGCCTCCCGAAGCTTCCAAGGGTGCCCCAAGACGGCCCACGAGGTGCCTTGGAGGCCCCAATAGGCCTCCAAGAGGTTCCCAGTACACCCCGAGGAGGCTCCCGAGAGACCCCCAAGAGGCTCCCAAGAGGTCCTCCAGAGGCACCCAAGACGTCCCAAGAGGCCTCCGGGACTGCCTGTAGACCTCAGAGACGCCCCAAGAGGCCGACAAGAAGCTCTCGAGACATCCGAAAAGACTCCCTAACTTTAAAATCCCCCCTAAACCCACCTAAATTCCCTTAGCCCCCCTTGCCCCCCAAAGTGTTTTGCCTCTAGGGCCGCTAAGACTTGTAACCCTCCCATAAGCCCTTCCAAACCCACCTGAACCCATACCCTCTCAAAACCCGTCTACACACCCGGATGCCCCGCTGAACCATCCTAGACCTCCCAGAACTACCTAAACCACTAGAAACCCAACGAGCCCCCCCCAATAAACCCACCTGAGCGCCCTAAGCCCCCCTAAACTTCCCTAGTCCATCTATAAGCCCATCAGAACCCTCTCGACACCTCCCTGGACCTCTATAAGCCCACCTAGAAACTTTTTTCCAACCAACCGAAACTCCCTGACCTCCCCCTAAACGCGACTAAACACCTAATCGCCCCTAGGCCCCTAAACCAAACAAATCCACCCAATCCCCTCGACCCCAAAACCGCATAACCCTCGATCCTTCATGAACCCATCGACCCACCCCAAAACCGCATAACCCTCCCCCATCTCCGGGGGGGAGGCACGCGGAAATGGCGGGCGCCGCGGTCACACCCCTCCTCTCTCCTCTTCCTTCCTCCTCCCCTCCCGCCCCCCTTCCCCTTCTACCCCGCCCGCCCCCAGCTGAACTTGAAAGGCTGCCGCCAGTTTTCGCGTACCTTCCGGCGGCTTCCCCCTGAACAAGAGATGCCAATCCTATTCACACTGGAAGACACGACTGTTCTGAGAACAAAGCCCCCTCAGGTGCCCGCAAGATGGCCCGCGTAGGCCGCCACGAGGCTCCCGTATCGAAGGATGCGTGGAGGCAGTCATGGTCGGCCCCTTCGATGTTCGGCTTGACGGCTGCCCCCCTCTCGGTCTCACTGCTTGCTCCGACGCTTCTCTGGTCAGGGCAGCTCGCCTGGGCTTCGCTTCCACAGCAGGACCTGTTCTGAGAGAGCAAGCCCAGGCGTTCCAGTCGGCCCGCGTGACCTCGGCACGCACAATGTCAGCGAGCAGCTGCTGGAACTCTTCGACCGACAGCGCCGCCACCCGCTTGCCGCCGGACGGTCGGAGAGCTGGCGTGCGCGAGTGTGCGCGCTCCCCGCGCTGGCACTCCTCGGGGGGCGAGCATCCCCCGAGAGGGAAACTGCCTCCTCCTTCCTCCCAGGATCGAACTTGGAGGGCGATTTACTTTGGGGCGCTTTTCGTGCCTGTTGGTGGGGCATCTGTGGGGGTCTCCCCGCCGCCACGCCTGCACTGCATCTCGAATCTCAAAGGGAGCAAGAAACCTTCGACCAAGATTGCGGAAATTCTGGCCGGAACGTGCCCATGGAACGCCCCACCACGAAGGCGGAGGAGTCGGGAGAGCATGGGCAGGGGCCCAGAAATCGGACTGACTGATATTTTGCAGTCCGCCAGCCCCACGGGTCGCGTCCGGTGGCCCTTTTGGTTGCCCCGAGGTTCGAAACCGGCCCCCCGTGAAACCGAAAAACCACCACAACATCGAAGCAACTCACGACCGAAGCTCTCAACCTCGTCTTTCTGCAGTAATTGTCTGAATGCATCGACACGAGGAGGGTCACGATGGGGGGCCACGATAGAAAGATCGGCGTACGGATAGGGATGGGCCAGGGGTACAGGGCCAGGTATTTGGGAATAGGTGCACAGGGACAGTGATCTAGGCTGGGAACAAAAACAAAAGGGAGGGGTATAGAACATTTGGGCTGATAACAATGGGATGCGGATCAAGATCCGGATGCGGGTCGGAAAAGACAGTGGGAGACAACGAGAGGCAACGTCGCCCGCTCGCTTGTGATCCTTCGAAGACATGTTAGCCAACGTGAGCCCCAAACAATGCGTGCTACCATAATACGTGTTGCAATATATGTGGTGCCATCCCCCTTGCAGAACTTGAAAACGTGAATTCCACAGCTCGCGCAATCATCCCACCGCCCCACCCGCAACTTGGTCTGCAACACCCACGCAGCGGTAGTTGTGAAGACTGCATGGCCATGGTTGGTGCATCTCTGCGGCCGCGCTTGCGCGCGCAAGTTCGCGAGCAGAGCGGCCAGCTGGATTGGCACAGCCGCTGCGGCTGCGATGGTATTACCCCTGGCAGCGCCGCAGCTCGCGTCAAATGCCTCGCTGGCTCGCGTGCGCTCGAATGCGGGTCGGTGGCTCGGGCGGGCACGGTATGGTGACGTCGGCGAAAACGGCATCGATGATGATAGTAACGATGGTGGTGACGATGATGACGGCAAGGCCGATGACGGGGCCGATCCTGGTCACGCCGATGACGATGATTGCGTCCACGTGTCGTTGATGCATATTTTGGGAAGATTTCGGCATGCCCGCGCGGCCGACGAGCGCGCGCGGCCCGCGTGGTGTTATTATTGACAGGGATCGCGCCCCCCCCCAGCAAGCGCGCAAGGGCGTTCAAATAATTCCGACATGCGCGCGCGAGGGGCTCGCGTGGCTGTACTTGATGAAACTACTCAAAAGCACAGATGGCTTACTTAAGAAGTCGCACAGGCGCGCGTGGTCTGAATTTGTTGGGGCAAATGTTTGACACACAATTGGGTTTCGAAACGTACTCGAAAACCTCGGGCTTGAAACCCTTACGAAACCAACGGGTTAGGAAGGACTCCGGCAGGCGCGCGAGATGACGCGCGTTCGGACTTTGTACAGTTGTTTCCTGCACGGGGATATTGGACGGTGTGATTTGGTGAACGAGTGCGCGCGCATAGTTGTATGTGACGAAGATGACGGGGAGGGGTATGAGACTCGAAGATATGGTATGCATTTAAGTTCCACATGAATGATACGGCATAATTGATGTAAGCTGTCCAATTACACGGGGTACCGATACACCTGGTGAAGCGGGGGTTGGTCGGGTCTGTTCTCTCTTGGGAAATGAGCTACAATCGACGTTTGACAAAATGTGGGGTGTGGGCTATGTGATGCAGCCTATGTGATGTGAGCTATGCTGTGCGATCTACGTCGTGCAATCTGAAAAGGTGCAACATATGCAGTGCACTCGATGTGTTGCCATTGATTTTTACAAATGAGTTGACCCATTCCATGCCGTTTCAAACATCTCACCCACCGACCCACATTGGTTTCCAAAACCCATGCGGCGGCGATTGCAATGCGTGCGTGGCGTTGGCTGGTGCATCTCTGCGGCCGCGCTAACCGGCGCATGTTCGCGCGCGCAGCGGCCAACTAGTTTGGCGCGACTTACGCGGCCGCGGTGGCGCTGACCGCACTCGTTTTTGAAAACCTTGCGAAACTTCAAACGTTTGAAGGATTTCGGCATGCGCGCGCGCGACGACGCGCGCGTGTGCGCTTCGCCACTTTTGTTCAGGATGTCTTTGAGAACTGATGGGTTTTGATGAACGACTGCGCGCCCGTAAATAATTTGATGAAGATGAGGAGGAATCGAACTCCGGCCTGGTTGGGATGGTGCGAAGTCATATTTAGGATGGACGATGGTGCAGGGTCACATGGAAATTGCAATGCAACAAATAGCCTGTTAACCCCGAGGGGGCGAGTGTAGATCCGAATGCTTTGAAAAATTTGAATCTACGTGGTGCAATTTACTTGCGAAGCTTGAAATTGCCAACGCCACTGCTCGAGCACTCACCCCACTCACCGATCCGCATCTTAGTTTTCAAGCCCATGCCGCGGCGATTGCGATGGCTGCTCGGCGCTGGCTGGCGCATCGCTGCGGGCGCGCGAGTGCGTGTTAACTCGCGCGCAAAATGGCCAGCTAGTCTGGCGCGGCCGACGAGGTCGCGGTGGCGTCGACCGCTGGAGACTGACCAGCGCGTCTTGCAGGCCGCGCTCGCGCGCTGGCACTTCATTGCGGGTGCTCGGGCGGGCGCGGCTTGATTGTGACTGGCCGACGGCGGACGCGCTGATGATAGTAACGATGATGGTGGCAATGACGGCGCCGATGCTGGTCACGCCGATGACGGTGATGGTGTCCACGTGTCGGTGATGACGGTCGTGGAAGGGTTTCGGCAGGCGCGCTCGGCCAGCGCACGTGGATGGCCCGCATGCCATGATTTGACAATGGTCACGCCCCCCCCCCCAGTAAGCGCGCAAAATCATTTCAACGATTTCGACATGCCGCACGGGGCTTGCGTGGCGCCATTTAACCGACATCTTGAACATATATGGTTTCCGACAAGGGCTCGCAATAGCGCAATGTTTTATAACACATGTTGCACCACCGCTGGTTGTTTATATGTTTTCGGGAGCCTCGATCTTGAAATCCTTGCGAAGCCTATGGTTTGTGGAGGGTTCCGGCATGCGCGTGCGACGCCGAGCGCGTTTGCAATTTCTCTTGCAAAAGATGTTTGGAAATGCTTGTTTTTGGGTAGACGGGCGCGCGCGTAATAGAATTTGACAGGGGTGAGGCGACGAGGGGTCTGGCCGGGGTGGTGTGACTTCGTTTCTAAATCGAACGATGGGGCAACACCATATGCACACTGCAACGTCCCAGGGGGGGGCAGTAAAGCCAGGGGGGCAAGTTTAGACCCTTCTAAAAAAAACGGAAATCGATGTGGTACGAGCTAACTACGTGGTGCAACCTAGGTGGTGCAATGTACGTGGTGCAATCTATGAGGTGCAGCCTATGTCATGCAATCTGTGTGCTGTGCCCTACGCGGTGTGATCTAGGTGGTGTGATCTATGTGGTGCAACTGGTTTTTACAAACGAGCTGACAGATTCCGTGCTCTTGCAAACATCCCACCAACCCGCGACTTGACCAGCTAGTTTGGCTCGGCCGACGCAGCCGCGGTGGCGCTGACAGCCGGGCACGACCCAGCGGGCCGTTCAGTGAGAGTCCGTGGCTTGGGCGTGCGGTGTATTATGGCGACTCCGGCAACGGTAAACATGATTCTCAAAGTGACGATGATAGTGGCGATGGCGGCGATGACGGCGGCAAGGTCGATGACGGCGCCGATGTTGATCACGCCCGCCGATAACGATGACGATGTCCTCGCGTCGGCGATGAAGGTTTTTTGAAAGAGTTGAACAAGCTCGCGCGGTCGACGCGCGCGATGAGCCCGCGTGGCGTTCCAATGAGTTCGACATGCGGGGCGAGAAACACGCTTGGCAGAATTAGATGACCGTGTTGGAGAACCTGTGGTTTTCTTCAGAATCTGCACCACCGTGAGCGCAAGTGTTTTTTTGTTGGAACACTGATGTTGCAAAACCCAACGTTTTGATATGTGTTCGGGACACTCGTTTTTTGAAATCCTTACGAAACTTAGGGTGTTTGAAAGATTCCGGCATGCGCGCACGACGATGCGCGCGCGCGTTAAACAAAAAAATGCGACACCACACGCGCAAGAGCGTTCGAGCGATTCCGGCACGCGCGCGCGAGTCCCATTTGGTGACACATTATAGCCTGTTGAGATACCTATGGTTTTCTGGAGAACTCGCAGCAGCGCGGGCGCAGGCTTTGTTTTGAAAACCACTGTTGCGAAACCATTTGTTTATTTTAACCTGTTTTCGGGACCCTCGAGTTTGAAATCCTTACGACGCTCTGGTTTTTTGAAAGATTTTGGCGTGCGCGCTCGACGACGCCCGCATGCGCACTTTGTCTCACCTTTGCAACAAGGATTTTTGACCATGGGTGATTTTTGATAAGCGAGTGCACGATTTTTGTTTGCAAAGGGTGAGGGGGGGGGAACTCCATTATGGCTGGGACGGCACGAATTAATCCTTAGGATGGACTATGGGGCAGAATCGTGTGCACATTGAGATGCGAAAGCATGGCCCGTCAACCCTGGGAAGGGGGAGATCTTAATTCTCTTTTAGATAATGCAACCTATGTGGAGCAATCAATTTCTGTTCGCAGTGAATTGTCCACTCCAATGCTCGCGCAAACATCCCACCCACCCACCCGCAACTTGGTTTGCAAAACCTCTTAAGACCGTGACGGTGGGTACCAAGTGGCACTTGGCAACGACACCGACGCCGACGACGACAGCGACAACGACGACGACGACGACGCCGCCGACAACGACTCCGACGACACCGACGATATCTCCAACGACTTCGAAGACGCCGACAACGACGACGACACCGACGACGTCGACGCCGA